AGGTGGTTCAAAGAGCTGGTGCACATGCCTTGCATACAGAAGCCCTGGGTTTTGTCCCTGGCACTGCATGCCCCACCCGACCCCATTCTCCACACCCCCCCCCCCAAAAAAAACACAGAGACAAAAAGAATTTCAATTGAATAGGAGATCTAAGTTTGTATTGCATCTAGGCTTTTATTGTCAAAACATTTTCGGTAACAGTAATGCCTTAAGTTTTTGAAGTATCTGAAAGTAGTTAAAGGGAGATACATTATAACCTTTCAGTACCAATATTGCAAACCATAATGCCCAAAAGGTGAAAGAGAGAGAGAGCAAGAGAGCAAGAGCAAGAGAGAAGAAAAGTGCCTGCGTAGGCAGACTGGGGGTAGGGAGCGGAAGGAGAGAAAATAGGGACTTTGGTGGTAGGAAACTTGTACACTGGTGAAGGAACAGGTGTTGAAACACTGTGTGACTGAAACCCAATCATGAGTGTCCGTATAACTGTGTATCTCACACTGATTTAATAAAAAAGATTTTTTGAAGTGTCACCTACACGAATATGTGCCAACTGGAGTTTAATGTTCATTTTATAATACTCTGATTTATCTGACTTATATTAGCTTTAATAGTGACTGCAGCTCATAAGGTGCTATATGTAACACCTTCAAGTAGCTCATATTGAAAACTGCCACCTAGAAGAGCATTTCGGAACTGTTTGCTGGCTGGTCAACACTAAGTCCTAATTCATTGCCTTGATGTTTTGCAAGCCAGACCCCATCAGGCCGTTAGATCACTGGACTTGTCCGTGGTTCTGTGTGAACAGACACAGCGATGAACTATTTGCTGGAAATTGAGCTTTTGAATTTTGTAGGTTCTTTGTCCTCGTTTGAGAAATATTTAAATGACACAGGAGAAACAGTGTGTCTGACTTTCGGGAATTGAGTAAGCAGTAGAATTATTTTTAGCTTTTACTCCTTGTAAACATTTCCTTTTGTTCTTTGGAAGGCATGGGTGATGTGTTCATTCATTTGCTCTGCTCTTTCCTGCCTCCAAGATGGTTTTGGACAAAATAAGCCCTCTCTTCTGCATGACTACATAACTGGGCTAACTAATTATTCAGTTGTAATTCATGAGTTATTCATTTGTTCATGTTTTCCTAGGTTCTGAAACACCAAAACATCATCATCATTATCACCAACCATCGCAAACATTTTTTTGTCCATCAGAGTTGATTCTACCCCATTTCTGCAAAACTGACTGAAAAATGAAAACTTGAGCAGGCTATTTGAAATATCTATTTTGTCAAAATATTGTATAGCGGTCACCCACAATGTGATTTTGCATTTGTTTTCTCTGTTATGACTTATTATCAGCCAATCACTTTTTTAGATGATGATGCAGTTAGAATATGGAATCCCAAGGTCAGGCTTCATGGTTACAAAAGCTGGTCTTTACCCGGCAGTTTTATGCTTGAAATTTGAAGTTTTTCCAATAGTTAGAGGATTTCTATGGAAGCACAGTAAAAATCTCACTTTTATTCTTTCTGAGAAGATGAGTTTGAGAAGACTGTTTCCACTTTAGATCCCTTTTAAGAGGATTTAGACATTTTGTCCCATTGTGATTTAACCATTCATTGTTTTCACTTTTTGGTAAAATGGAGAGGGATTACAGCATTTGTGGTTCACTTTGTGAATTCTGGAGTCAAATCACCTGATTTCAGATCCAAGTTCTGCTGTTAATCTGGCTATACCTCAGATTTTCTTATCTAAAAAAAAAGACAATTTCAGTATGGAATTTAAATCAGCTAATCCATGTAGAGAGACTACCACAAGTCTGGGCAGTAGAGTTTCTGTAGAAATAAGCTTTTGTAATTATTGAATAAGATGATTTTTTATATTACATAGAGTGCAAGTAATTTGGAAGATTTCTTAACATACGAAGGCAAAATACTGTTTCCTGGATGACCCCCACTCCTATCCCAATCTCTGTAAATTTTCTATTGGGCTATCCTCAAAAGTAGCCTGAAACCAGTGCTTAGTGAATTTCATTTCCTTTGACCCTTTGCATTTGCAGTTTTTCCCATGTAGAATTAGCAGAATTATAATGGGACGTCAAGCAAAACATTTTTTCCCCTTTTTGCATAAAAACAGGAAGGCAGACTGCGAGATGGCGTTGACATCTGTGCCTCTGCCCTGGGCCAGAAGCAGAATGGTTATTGCTGCTGATTCGGCATCCCATCTGCTACCTTCTCTGCGGGTTAAATCCCTCTTCCTTCCCCTCCTTCCCTTTAGAGCCCCAGAGGTGCTGAAGGCAGAGAGAGAGAGAGAGAGAGAGAGAGAGAGAGAGACAAGGGTGTAAAATATCAGAAGAGGGAAACAGGACAGAGGCTCAGCGAAAGACAAGAGAAAGATTATCCCATTCAACAGATGACCCACTTGGGTAAATGCTCAATCCCCTCTGGTGGCAGTTTATGTGAGTTCTGTGGACCATGCAAAAGGTCAAAACAGAAAAACACCAGCATGGTCGAGTGAGTCCACACCGTTTAGGTGCAGCTCTTCAGACACCTGATTAAATAACCTACTAAATAACCTTTTTGTATTTTAAATAACCTTTTTGTGATCTCTTCTTTCAGGTTTTTATTTTATTTTTTCTCCCCAGATTTTATTTTATTAAAGCGCTGTGCGTTACAAACTTATTCGTGGTTGGGTTTTAGACATACAATGTTCCATCACTGATTCCTCCACCAGTGTCAGCTTCCCTCCCCAGTGTTCCCAGGTTCCCTCTCCGACCCCACCGCCACAGCTCCAGCCTGCCATCGTGACAGGCACCTTTTGAATTTGGTTATTGGGGGCTGGAGCGATAGCACAGCGGGTAGGGCATGTGCCTTGCACACAGCCAACCTGGGTTCGATTCCCAGCATCCCATATGGTCCCCCGAGCACCGCCAGGAGTGATTCCTGAGTGCAGAGCCGGGAGTAACCCCTGAGCATCGCCAGGTATGACCCCCCCAAAAAAGGCAAAAATAAATAAATGAATAAATAAATTTGGTTATTAAAGTTTGGGTCTTGTGAATTCAGTGTTGTTGATTCTATGGTGTGGTTATTTAGCTCCATCATTCCTTAACATGAATCCCCTGAGCGATAGCACAGCGTTAGGGCGTTCGCCTTGCACGCAGCCAACAGGGTCGACCCGAGTTCGATTCCTCCGCCCCTCTCGGAGAGCCTGGCAAGCTACCGAGAGGATCTCGCCCGCACGGCAGAGCCTGGCAAGCTCCCCGTGACGTATTCGATATGCCAGACACAGTAACAACAGAGTCTCCAATGGAGATGTTACTGGGCCCGCTTGAACAACGGGAGGACCGTGACCGAATATTTTTATTAGTTAGTTATTTATTGCAACTAGAGATCATGTTTTGCCTCCAGGAGGTCTGGATTTGATCCCTAGCACCACTTGGTCCCCTGACCACAGAGGCAGGAGTAGCCCTCCAAGTACCTCCTGGTGTGACCCCAAAATCAAAAAAAGCAGAAGCAGTTTTGCAACTTTGTATGATGACAGATGGTAGATGTCTGTGTTGTGATAATCATCTCCAGGAATAGGTGTGGGATCATTATGCTGTACACCTGAAACTAATATAATGTTACGTGTCAACTGTAGCTCAATAAAGGGAGCACACGGATGCTATAATTTTAAAAAGCACATTTTTTTCTTTTAACCCAGACTCTCGGAATAAGATTTTTATGTTTACAAAGGGTGCTTTAGCTTTTGAGTATTTTCTCTTTTCCTATAATGGTTCTTAGCTCATCCCACTAGCCATTGAAGTCACTTGTTATTAAGAGATCACTTCTTAGGCCAGAGAGATTGTACCAGGGTTAAGGCACTTGTGCCTTGCACATAGCCAACCTGTATCCAATCCCGGGCACTACATATAGTCCCCTGAGTACAGCTAGGGGTGGCCCAAAAACAAAACAAAAATAAATAACTAAAATATCACATCTTCCACCCAATCGAGATAACCCAGACTTTCTACAGTCATCTTAGAATCACTTATTTAAAGTTTAGAATTGAAAACATCACGTACATGCACCCCCAAAGGCTGTCAGTAGTGTTATCATTTAACTCTTCGATTTTGACTGAAACTGAACAAGTTAATGAGGAATGAGTGCCCCCCTAATTTACCTTTCTTTCTAAATCTCCTATAAAATGAAAACATTTACATGGCGCATGTCAAAACTAGCAGCTGTAAGTCTCAAATGCATAAACAAAGCGGGGGGCTACACGCACAAGATCCCACGGTGCCCACTCGTCTTTCTGAATTGCCCCCAGGGTTGCGCATTGTCTCCCCACACTAGGCTGCCGTATCCCCACTAGGGTCAAACTCCTTGAGTTCTGGCGCCCACATGAAAGCTGGGTGTAGGAGTCCAGTTGGCGAGCAGTAGGGAGGGCAGGCTGGGGGGTAGGGGGCTGGGGGGTGGGGGTGATGCAGTGCTCACCACAGCTCACATGTCATCATCCCTTTGGGTCGCAGTGCCCTTCAGGGTGCCGACACAGCCGGCTGTGTGCTGACCAGAATTGCGCGCAGCACCTGGAACCACCCGGCAGAGCTGCCGGCCTGGACCGGACGTTCGGCCTGACGCCGGCCATGCGCGCCCTATTCACCAGGGAGCTAGCCCCCAGGCCCTCTTCTTGGTTTGAATGGAAAAATTCTTGCAATGTATTTTTACCTCCAAAGTCGAAGCTTGTTTTAACTTTGCCTCTTATTTTTATGATTTCCTGACGACTGAAGTTTGTTTATGATTCAAAAGGATCGAATAATACTTTAATAGAGGGTCTTCAAGGGTCAGTTTTCATGCTCCTTGACTGCTCTGTGTGCTTTTCCTTTGAATTTGAGGTTAGTCCTAAACCTTCATCAAAGGACTGTTGACTGATTTTGATTGAAGTCCTGGAGAGCCTTAATTATAATTGATCATATAAACAGTTCTCATTCATTGCTTTGAAAAAAAGACCACTATGCTTGCTTTCTAGACTGATTTTGCACGATTTAGTGGAACAAATGTGGAAACTGACTTTGTAGAGGTGCCCTCACAAATGCTTGAAAATTGGGTCTGGGACATTGATTCCCTCCGAAGGCTGTCGAAGCATTATAAAGATGGAAGCCCTATTACAGACGATTTGCTGGAGAAACTCGTGGCTTCTAGGTTGGTTAATACAGGTATGACATGTACTTTTTAAAAGGAAAATTATTAAAGTTGCCTGCTGAAGAGGCATCTTTTCCTAGGGATCTTTTCCCCCACTTAATGCTAGTACAATGAGGGTACTGATATGGGGGTGGGGTGGTGCAGAGAAATGTTGAATATCAAACCCCGAGATTGTGTCCAAGGAAAAAAATACGTTTTTCTTGGGATTTTGCATTTTCCTTTCTATTTCTTTGGCATTAGTTTACAATCTGATATTTTTGATGTTATAGTTTAGTGCCTCCCTAGGTTCTCCCACTCTCACTACCAAAGTTCCAGTGCCGTCGTGCAACCAAGAGGATCCCTCTGTCAGTCCTCGCGCCTCTCCTCTCGTCACTGGAATGCGCTGTCTTGCTCCCATCTTACAATGGCTGCTGTGGGAATCCACTTTTGAGACCTGTGCTCTGGGCACACTGGAATGCATGGTTCTTTCTTTTTTCAAAACATGCCCCAACACTCTTGTGCTATTATAGGTCTCCTAACCTTGCGCCAGATTGTCTTGAGCAAAGTTGACCAATCCCTCCATACCAACACGTCGCTGGATGCAGCAAGTGAATACGCCAAATATTGCAAAGAAATCTTAGGCGTTGCAGCCACTCCAGGTAGGCCTCGGTTCGCTCTTCCTGCTTAAGCACAGGGTGTACTCCTAACACTGCCAGGGGAGGCGGTTAGTCAGGCAGATTGCCCAATTCCATTTGTGTCTGATTTCGGCACTCAAGCCGGGACTTTCAGATAAGGATCCTGCGTCCACCGGCTCCTGCCCGAAGCACTTGGAGGAAAGACCTCCGGCTCTGCAGCTTTGCAAGGAGCCCTGGGCCACTTCCTCCTCTCCTCCCGCCCCCCCCACAAAGGCACTCACGTTTGGCCACACCTGCCTCAGCTCCACGCACTGTGGCCTCCCTGAGATTCCCTGACAGAAGGGGCAGTTCCAAAGAGAAGTCACAACTCCCTCCCTTGCCTCCAGTTCTGACTGTAAGAGCAGCCTGGCAGCTTCTCACCTTCGTTTTTTGAGATATATATGGGTGGGCGTGTACACGTGTGTTTGAATTTTATTATCTTTATATTTCAAACCAATATGAAGTTGTACACATTTGTATAACTGGTAAGGTGACTTTTTTTTTTAACCCAGGAAATTGTTAGTGAGCTGAATCAGTAACATTTACAGAGCGTATAAAGGTACAGCTAGTTAGTGAAGTGTGGAAGAACTAGACGCATTTCTCTGTGATTTGTTTATGGTAGACCTCAGTGCCTCTGGGCCTCAGGCCACTTGCACAAAATCCTTTTTCAAGTGGCCCTAGAGACAGACTGAATTGGTCAAAAGCATTTTTAGCCTTTCAGGGAAAGAATTCTTTTCAATAGTGATGAACCAAAACTGAAATCCAATCATGAACAGCTTTGTAATGTAATCATGGCGATTCAATAAAATTAAATTAATGTTGAATAAATGAATAAATAAAAGTCAGGTCGAACCAAATTAGCTATAAAGAAATGTTTGCAAGACACATGGGTATTTAAGGGTTAAGAAAGGATGGAAGATTTCTGAAGCACTGGGCTAACTGATGGGTGTGGACAAAGCCTCTGAAACTACCTTCAGGCATTCCAGAGCAGAGGGCCGAAACTAGCTCCAAGGTTGAGCCATCCTCCAGAGAGAAATTTGTAAACATCTTGGCCAAGGACACTCGTATGCCCTGGGAGTAGGAGAGGTGAGATCGTATCTCTCCTCCCACAGCTAAACTCCCCCCAGGAAAACCTGAGCTACCCGCAGCCTGATTGTTAACAGTGCCAGCAAGTTGAAATATCTCTTTCTTTGTAGGTACTAATATGCCGGCTACATTTGGACATTTGGCAGGGGGATACGATGGCCAGTATTACGGCTACCTTTGGAGTGAGGTCTTTTCCATGGACATGTTTTACAGCTGTTTTAAAAAAGAAGGGATAATGAATCCAGAGGTATTGTACTTTTTCTCCTTTGATTACCTTTGTACTTGTTCCCCTCTCTTTAATTTTTTTGTGTAAAATATATTTATTTTACCTAAATATTACTGTAAGAGATTTAGTAACAACCTTTAACTTTCAAGTCTTGCAATTATTCACATAATCGTACATCACTAAATTGCACTATCCAAGTGACTCATTCCATAAGGTTTATTTTTAAGAAAAGAAAAACTTACTGCATTTTCTTGTTTATTAACATTCCAATATATTGCATAATTAAAAAGCAAAGCTTTGTTTATGCATTTGAGACTTATAGCTGCTAGTTTTGACATGCGCCATGTAAATGTTTTCATTTTATAGGAGATTTAGAAAGAAAGGTAAATTCCTTCCTTGATATAAATGTTTTGTTCCAATGTGCTCTTCACACTTTCTGCAGTTTCTATGGGAGACACCTTTTCTGCGACTAACAGCGACTCCACCTAACTGCATGCTTTGTAGCCTAAATGCCTTTGAGTAAGTTAAATGCCTCATTAACCTGAGCCATTCCTTCCCCTGTACAGAACTGACCTCCTGGTGGCTGCCAGCCAGACCTTCCTGAGTCCCCAACCCCCGTCTCCACTTTTACTAAACATTCAGCTGTCAGATTATTTGTAGAGCTGATGCATTTTTAAGTGTGATTCTCATTCTGAGTCAGAAATTAGAAGAACAAATGGCCAAAGCCAGGCTCCCTATGCTTATTTCAACTGTCTGATTTGTTTCTGGACAGCAGGGCATTTTACACACAGGCACTAAAATGTATCCCTATAATTCTGTTTGTTTGTGGGGCCACATCTTGGTGGTGCTCAAGTGTTAACTTCTAGCTCTACACTCATTAATTACTCCTGGCCACCCTTAGGAAACCATATGGGATTCCAGGGATCAAACCCAGGTTGACTACATGCAAAGCAAGCACCCTACCCACTGTATTATCTCTTCGGCTCCATCATCCCTAACATTTAAACTGTCATCCCTTCCCCCTAAGAAAAATACCAAAACCCACCTCCAGGTACCTGCATTCTTGCACTAGTTTTGCTGTTAGGATCCTCTAAATTTCCTTCTGTTCCAACTCATCTGTAGAAGTCAGCCACTGACTGTTTTCTTAAATACCCTGACTTCTGGATGACCTGTGGCCAGTGCCCAGCCCAGATTCCTCCACCACCTCATCTTGAGATGCTGCCCTTGGGATTACAGTGTTCAGGGGAAGGCGGTAGATCAGGTGACTCCATTAAAATGCCCCACTACAGAGTCATGCTGAACCAGACACCCAGTGTTAACCTGCGGCTCAGCTCTGCTTCCCTGATTGGGTTTCACCTAGTCCCCGCTGCCTCACCTCTCAGCAGTTTCTCCCGTTCTTGCTAAGTATATCAGCCTTGGGGCTAGAGTTATAGTACAGCGTGTTGGGCATTTGCCTTGCACATGTGCAACCTGGATTCGATCTCCCATACCCCACATGGTGCCCCTGAACGCAACCAGGAATAAACTCTGAGCATGGCCAGATGCGACCCAAAAACCAAAAAAATAATAGGAAACGAGAAAGAAAATTAGCCTCGTTGGGAATGAGTCCTTTCATCTTGTGTTCTCTTCCTGCACTCATCCTCTTTCTGGTCCCGTAGGGACTGCCTCCAATACCAAGCCTTACTGGTCTGCCATCTTAGAAAAAAAACGTGAGTCTTTTGCATTTCACTCAAATAACGCCAGTGCTTCCTGTCCTGTGTCAGTGAGGTTCCCCCCCCACCTTGTATCCACAGTGTAATTTCCTAGTGTGAGAAATAGTTTTTGAAAAAGCTCTACTTCTTAGCTTTCACCCCCGGAAACTGAACTTCGAAGGCAGAGACTCCCACCGAAGTCGCCACTGATGGCACAACTTCCAAAGGTCCTCACCGGCCTTGGTTTTCACTTCTTGTTCTTTGTTTCCCAGCCCCCAGAAACCAAGTCCCTTTGCTCCTTCCCAGAACTCCTGTGTCTCAGCCAAATTGACGTTTTCCCATAGGTATTGCCACTTTCAAATGCATTTATCCCGTTTCTTCCACTTACAATGCCTGCCTGCCTCGTCCCTGCCTCTCACAACCAACCATTTTTCATGGCCCTATTCCAATGACCACTCAGTTATAAGATCTTCCAGACAGTCCAGAATAAGAAGCACCTTTTCCTCTGCAGAAAAGAAAAGTCTGGGGGGAGCATATCAGTACATTTTCCCCCCTTGTATCTGAACTATTTACTAAAACCAGGGTACAGAATGATGAAATACCAGGTTTCAAAATATTCTTTTTTATGATAGAATACAAAGTTTTACTTTTAAATGTTTAGGGGTGGGGGAAATTATACTAAAAAGTTCACCGTTGTTTTGGGGTAGTTAAGTTTATAAGAGGCTCTTAATTGTTTTCTGTGCTTTTTTGTTTTTTGGGTTTTTGTTTGCGTTGTTTGTTTGTTTGCTTTTGAGGTCACACCCAGCAATACACAGGGGTTACTCCTGGCTTTGCACTCAGAAATAACTCCTGGTAGTGCTCGGGGACCACATGGGATACTGGGACCCAAACCCAGGTCAATCGCGTGCAAGGCAAACACCCTACCCGCTGTACTATCGCTCCAGCCCCCTCTGTACGTCTTTTGGATCTGTTTCTTATTTTAACATAAAGCATAAACTCCCTATTTGATAACTATGAAGTTACAGTTCATAAATATAAGGCATATAGCATGTTACTCTGATACATCGAGATACTACAATGTGCCTGCCAGTCGAGGGAATAGTTAGCGCTTCGGCACACGCTGTTGCCTGTCTCTGTCAAGCTAAGCATTAGCTGCATGACATGGGTTATTGTAGCAACCAGAAAACCGTGTTTAGGGACACACATCCGTCCGTGAAAGGCTCCAGCGTCTGACTCACTTGTTGGTGGCTTCCTGGCGTGCGTAGCCCGTCCTTCGTTCGGGGAAGCCTCCTGGTCACCTCTCCGGTGCTTCCGCTCACATGGTCACAGCCCTTGCCTCCAGCTCTGTTACCCCTTCTCCTCCCCGTCAAGGTGACAGCCAACATCCTCCTCTCAGGGGATGCCAAGAAGTTTGCAAGTGCAGCCGCAGCAGTCCCTGCTGCTGCATGGCTGTGGCGGGCAGCCAAGCTCCTTTCCCTTGAGAGAGGGGCGGGGTGAACCCAGCGATGAGACTCCCCGCGACGCAGGTTTGTTTCCTTGGGATGTTGGGAGCCGTTTTCAGTTCTGCTAAAATTCTCGGTTCAGCAGAACTATGTGTTCTTATGTGCTCTTATTCATCCTGTGCGGGGAAGCTGGCTTTCACAACCTTTGTATCTTTTTTATAAGACATTCTGTAATATAGTATCTTTACTTTCACAATGCCAAATCTTTCTTTAATGGGAAAAACCCCAACATTTTTCGCTTCCCATTCACACCTCCTACCACCTTATCTTTGCTACAGTGGCAAATACTGGTCACCACTTTGAAATGTATTTCGTTGTTGTTGGGGAGGGGGCACACTCCGTGAAGCTCAGGGATTACTCCTGGATCTTCACTCCAGAATTACTTCTGAAAGTGCTCAGAGGACCATATGAGATGCAAAGATCAAACTGAGTTGGCTGCAAGGCCCTACCTGCTGTACTATCACTCTGGCCCAGAAATAGGAAATAACTTCTAAAATCACAGTTTATTTACAAAATTCAGATACCCACTTATTAAAAAATTTAAATACTTTAGAACAACTATCCTGTTACACACAAAACTTGCCCTATTATTATAACCACTCTGAGATAAAGAGAACGAATATTTATTTGTTTGAGTGCCACACCCAACCTTGCTCAGGGGATACTCCTGGCTCGGTGCTTGGTGCTAGCTCCTGGCAGTACTCAGAGGACTATGCAGGTACCAGGAATCAAACCTGAGCGTCCCACATGGAAAACAGGCACTCATCCTGTTGATCCACCTCTCTGGCCCAAAAGGAGTTTGTTCGGAGCCGTACCTTGGCCTTACTTGTGCTTCTGTACTCAGGTATTGCCTGCTGTACTATCCCTCCAATTCCAAGAGATACAACTTTTGGTGGACTGGAGCAATAGCACAGCAGGTAGGGCGTTTGCCTTGCACGTAGCCAACCCAGGTTCAAGTCCTCCACCCCTCTCAGAAAGCCTGGCAAGCTACCAAGAGTATCTCGCCCGCACAGCAAAGCCTGGCAAGCTCCCTGTGACATATTCATTATGCCAAAAACAGTAATAACAAGTCTCACAATTTGTTGTAGGATGTTACTGGTGCCTGCTCGAGCAAATCGATGAACAACGGGAAGACAGTGCTACAGTGCAGTGCTACAACTTTTGATATAAATAAAAGTATAAATTGGTACAACTTTTGGTATAAATAAAAGAGTTGGAGAGATAGCTCAGCAGGCCAGAGTGCAGAGTTTGCAACCAAGAGGCCCAGGTTGGATTTCTGCACCATATGGTCCCTAAGCTACCAGTGACGTATTCAATATGCCAAAAACAGTAACAACAAGTCTTACAATGGAGATGTTACTGGTGCCTGCTCGAGCAAATCGTTGAACAACGGGAGGACAGTGCTACAGTGATCGTCCCCAAGCACAGCCTGGAGCTCTCAGCTCCCAAGCACTGAGCCAAGAGTAGACCTGGATTTAATTGAAGTCCGGACAGTTAGAGCAACCACAATATCAAGCACTTTATAGTCCATGCCCTTATCCTCCCTGACCCATATTCAAATCATTCTGAGAAGAAAGAAAGAAAGATGACTGCATCAGGGCCTGTTAATTACTCAGAGTCCCCAGGAACTAGAAAGCCTAGGGGTTGAAAATGCCCATAGAGTTGACATTGGCATCATTGGTGGTGGTCATTGGTATCAAAAAATATACCTCAGACCTTCCTCTGCCAGGCTGGAGCGATAGCACAGCCGGTAGGGCGTTCGCCTTACACGCGGCCAACATGGCCGACCCGAGTTCGATTCCTCCGCCCCTCTCGGAGAGCCGGCAAG